TGCCATTTAGGCATCCCCTTGGGCACCAATCCTCAATGATTGGGTTCCTTCGGTATTTATGTATTTCTGCTCTGACTGCAAAGATCAAAACAAGGCTATATGGCCAAGTTGTTTATCTGAAGCTTCAGGTGACAGTGGTCAAATAGTCAATTCCCTCCCACGGAGTTATCCATTTGAACTAGAAGTAAAAGACTCGCCGCAAATCACTGTTTTGATTTTAACATTATATTCCCATGTTTTTGTTCAGGTTAACTAACACTTGACTTGCCTTTGCTTGTGTTTGTGACGAGTGCCACTGGTGGGTCAGGATACGCTCACCTTTTGCAAACAACTTTTATCATCACTATTTGATAGTGCTTCAGAAACATATGATCACGATAGAGTCGGAATCGTACAATGGACAATGTATATTTCTTATGATTAAGAAAATGGCTTTCTCGCTTTTATTTAATTTAACGTTAAAATACGTGTAGGATATAGTCCGAAAAGTCACGATTATTTTTGCACGTGGGGTCAGTTCGAGGCCGTCAGGCCGAGAACTTGCCCCACGTGCAAAAATAATCGTGACTTTGAGGACTATATCCAACTTAAAACAAAGTCCCATTCAAAATACATGTTAAACTAATGTCCACCCAATATGCACGTGCATATATAATGGAGGGTCGTTCTTGTTTATGCTGAATCGATTGAAACTGCGCGCATGAACGCGCTAAAGTTCGAGCAAAACTATTGGAGGTCTCGTCTAATATGAGCGCGGAAAAGCACGTGCGATTTCTCATTTAGCCTTCAGTCTTTGTACGTGATGAAAATTCATTACACGAGCTCGAACCAGGCAGCAATTAACTCAGATTTTGAAAGACTCATTAATGCTCATATTGAAATACTTGACGTGGCTGTACCAGATTTTGATGTGGGTAAAAGTGATATCTTGGAATCAGATGAGTTGTCTGGAAATGATACAGATTTGGTGGAACTCTCTCAACACATAGAAGCAAGTATTCCCCAGGCCATACAAATTCCCGTTACAACTCATAACATTGATGACGCAGATAGTATTTGGAATTCCTAACCTTTTAGCAAGCCTGTGTCAGAGCAAGATCTTCAAAGTCTAAATTGTAATTCGGCTTTTTCTCAGAACACAGAAAACAAGAGTAGCTAGGCCGTCGACGTCTTCCAAGCGCGGGTCAAGGAAAGACAATCCCATGGGTTACGAGATGACGTCGTGTTAAACCCCGACAGTATTGCTCTTTCGCATCGTGAAACAGATATTAATAAAAAATCTTATGCGTTTCTTGGTGGAAGTACGAAACCTAAAGGGCAAAAAATATCGGGGAAATACGTTATATGAACTGATCGCGATCGCCTCATCGCAATACTATCGCCGAAGATATCCAGATTAACGTTAACGAGTCTCCTTATATCAAGGGGATGAGAAACGTCTTGGATGCTCGCATGAAGTCATTAGCTAAGCAGGGTATTGGCATTTAGAAAAGACAGGCAAATGTTGTTTCTGTCAGAAATCATGGTAACATATTGTTAACACAAATACAGGACGGTTCCTTTTTTGGGGGGTTTAGTGCCCTTTTGGAATCTGCCGCCTCTGGTTCTGCTATCTCAACTTCGAAAACGTTGACATCCACTGCCTCTACATCGGCTGAGGCAATGTTGACAGCTACAGCGGTGACCTGTGAAGATCCGGGGTAGTATAGGTCTTCAGCAACCCATGCTTGCTGTAAAAGGCGACTATGCTTGTCGTAAGAGGCGGCTAACGGGATCGAGTTGTCAGGATATCAATCACTGGATCGTCTGGTCCAGATTCGATTATTTTCAGACCGCCGTCATATAGCTGGAATATTGCTTAGTGCGGCGTAAAACAACAAACAAACCAACCAACCTACAGCGGTTCTGGATGAAACGTCAACTCTCGCAGTAACTGAAACAACCGAGAGTGCAGCAAAAAAATCCATGAAACTCGTATTACCAGATGGGGCAACTTTGTCGTTGTCTTTCTGAAATAAATTTAATTTCTAATGTGTCTCCGTATTATTACCTCAGAGGACAGAAATCATGGTAGTTTTATAGTGTTAACACAAATACAGGACGGTTCGTGTATTTGGGATTTAGCGCCTTTATTACAAACAGAATTTCAGTTATATCACGGCGGCATGTTCATTGCAGAAGAAAAGCCTGCCAAACTATTGTGGTTATGTGTTGCAGTGAAACGTGCGAACGTCGACTGGCATATGCAAACCAATGGTGAGCGTAGTTCCTTAACTAATTGGGAGGGTGCGTTTCTACGTTTTGTCTATCAAAGTTCACAAACACGGTTCGACTGACATGATCGGGTAATGGAGTTTAAACTATTGGAGGGTGCACATTAGTTGATAACTATTGGAGGGTGAACATTAGTTGTTAACTATTGGAGGGTTTATCTGCAATACACCGACTACTGGAGGATTACAGCATGAATGCGCACGACCCAATTCACACGAACATTCATGTGACTTTGTTTTAAGTGTAGGATATGGTCCGAAAAGTCACGATTATTTTTGCACGTGGGGTCAGTTCGAGGCCGTCAGGCCGAGAACTTGCCCCACGTGCAAAAATAATCGTGACTTTGAGGACTATATCCAACTTAAAACAAAGTCCCATTCAAAATACATGTTAAACTAATGTCCACCCAATATGCACGTGCATATATAATGGAGGGTCGTTCTTGTTTATGCTGAATCGATTGAAACTGCGCGCATGAACGCGCTAAAGTTCGAGCAAAACTATTGGAGGTCTCGTCTAATATGAGCGCGGAAAAGCACGTGCGATTTCTCATTTAGCTTTCAGTCTTTGTACGTGATGAAAATTCATTAGACGAGCTCGAACCAGGCAGCAATTAACTCAGATTTTGAAAGACTCATTAATGCTCATATTGAAATACTTGACGTTGCTGTACCAGATTTTGATGTGGGTAAAAGTGATATCTTGGAATCAGATGAGTTGTCTGGAAATGATACAGATTTGGTGGAACTCTCTCAACACGTAGAAGCAAGTATTCCCCAGGCCATACAAATTCCCGTTACAACTCATAACATTGATGACGCAGATAGTATTTGGAATTCCTAACCTTTTAGCAAGCCTGTGTCAGAGCAAGATCTTCAAAGTCTAAATTGTAATTCGGCTTTTTCTCAGAACACAGAAAACAAGAGTAGCTAGGCCGTCGACGTCTTCCAAGCGCGGGTCAAGGAAAGACAATCCCATGGGTTACGTGATGACGTCGTGTTAAACCCCGACAGTATTGCTCTTTCGCATCGTGAAACAGATATTAATAAAAAATCTCATGCGTTTCTTGGTGGAAGTACGAAACCTAAAGGGCGAAAAATATCGGGGAAATACGTTATATGAACTGATCGCGATCGCCTCATCGCAATACTATCGCCGAAGATATCCAGATTAACGTTAACGAGTCTCCTTATTTCAAGGGGATGAGAAACGTCTTGGATGCTCGCATGAAGTCATTAGCTAAGCAGGGTATTGGCATTTAGAAAAGACAGGCAAATGGTGTTTCTGTCAGAAATCATGGTAGTTTTATAGTGTTAACACAAATACAGGACGGTTCCTGTATTTGGGGTTTAGTGCCCTTTTGGGATCTGCCGCCTCTGGTTCTGCTATCTCAACTTCGAAAACGTTGACATCCACTGCCTCTACATCGGCTGAGGCAATGTTGACAGCTACAGCGGTGACCTGTGAAGATCCGGGGTAGTATAGGTCTTCAGCAACCCATGCTTGCTGTAAAAGGCGACTATGCTTGTCGTAAGGGGCGGCTAACGGGATCGAGTTGTCAGGATATCAATCACTGGATCGTCTGGTCCAGACTCGATTATTTTCAGACCGCCGTCATATAGCTGGAATATTGCTGAGTGCGGCGTAAAACAACAAACCAACCAACCAACCTACAGCGGTTCTGGATGAAACGTCAACTCTCGCAGTAACTGAAACAACTACAGCCGAGAGTGCAGCAAAAAAATCCATGAAACTCGTATTACCAGATGGGGCAACTTTGTCGTTGTCTTTCTGAAATAAATTTAATTTCTAATGTGTCTCCGTTTCATTTACCTCAGAGGACAGACATCATGGTAGTTTTATAGTGTTAACACAAATACAGGACGGTTCGTGTATTTGGGATTTAGCGCCTTTATTACAAACAGAATTTCAGTTATATCACGGCGGCATGTTCATTGCAGAAGAAAAGCCTGCCAAACTATTGTGGTTATGTGTTGCAGTGAAACGTGCGAACGTCGACTGGCATATGCAAACCAATGGTGAGCGTAGTTCCTTAACTAATTGGGAGGGTGCGTTTCTACGTTTTGTCTATCAAAGTTCACAAACACGGTTCGACTGACATGATCGGGTAATGGAGTTTAAACTATTGGAGGGTGCACATTAGTTGATAACTACTGGAGGGTGAACATTAGTTGTTAACTATTGGAGGGTTTATCTGCAATACACCGACTACTGGAGGATTACAGCATGAATGCGCACGACCCAATTCACACGAACATTCATGTGACTTTGTTTTAAATTGACAATATATAAACTTCTGATTTGAATTTTATTACTGACTTGCCAAGTTTCATATTTGTCAAACGTTTCCTGTCAATATCTGTTGCCCGCGTTACACATGAACACTGAATCTATGTTTTTTTCTGTTGTTCAACAACTGAATGTGTGACATTTTTAAGTGTTCAAAAATTGACCCACAAATTGTTTTCTTGCACGTTGCACGTCCATCCCATTAGAAAATGACGCTTTGATGCGTGGCATGTGTCGAACAGGAAGCAAAAGCACTTTGTGAAAATAAAACCCATTGATTTCACAGTCACGGAGGAACAGGTTTTTGGTGTGAAAGTTTTAAATGGTGAATTCTCAATTAGTTGGTGCCCATATGCGACATGTTTTGATGACACTATTTGTCTATATAAGGCGGCCAAGATATGCATAAACTATCACTGCAAGAAGATAAAACTACGATATAAGTATTATTTTTCGCCATATACATGTACGAGTAAGTGCTATCACAAATATTTGACCACTTTCTAAATGGCATTATGTGTTCATAGATATATAAGTAACAGGGTTTAATTTAAGTTTGTGGGAAATGTTAGGATTCGAGTTGTTACATCAGATCATTTCCTTCAAACAGATTGGGCTGTACTCTTCTGTACTGTAAGCTCAATCTACGTTTCGACCGATTTAGTTGTTTTTTGTCGAATGACACATATTGCTGTCATTAAAACTTGGTTGCTAATGCAAACGTTGCCGTCTGAGGTATATATCTGTGAGTGTATAGTGAGTGAGGTATAGTGAGTGAGTGAGTGTGGTTTCACACTTCTTTTAGCAATATTGAAGTACTATCACTGCGGGGGACACCAGAAATGGGCTTCACACATTGTGCCCATGTGGACAGTCGAACCCGGGTCGAACACTTTAAACACTAGGCTACCACCGCCCCTGTCGTATAAGGGTGGCCCAGTCGTCTAAGGCGCCGCGATTCGCTGTGCAAAGTTGCGTCCCTTAGGCATGCCAGAAACCTATGGTTGTGGGTTCGAATCCCGGTTCGCCCCGATTATGTTTCTAGGTTTGTCAGCACCATACCCGTGCTCGTTGGTTTCACCGAAGTGGTAAACTTCTGAGACCTGCATCACTTCGGGCTTTCCTCCCACATTAAGCTGCCACGCCGTGATATGACTGGAATACTGTTAAAATGGGCGTTAAACCCAACTCACTCACTCACTCACTCACTTTAAATAGTGTTTAAATCTCAATAATAAATAGATCATATATGCAAGCTGTGTGTGCTTTAAAGAGAATGGAGAATCAAACTTAATAGATGTATTTACTTTTATTTACTTCTTATGTTCCTGATCAACCGAGATACAAATATGGTCGATTATAGTTTAACTATCAATTTCCAATTCACGTCCAAAACAAACAGACAATAAATGCTTTGATGAAGTAGCTTATATTTCTTGGCTGTTGAAAACAACACTCCACATATATAAGCTATGTAAATTATTGCTATGAAAGTAATAGAGTGAAGTTGATGCGCAGAAAACAGTTTTACAAATTGAGACACATGAGTCGTTGCAGAGACGCCCCAGCAGCTGAAGTTTACATTTATCTGTATAGCCAACCGTGCTCCAATGTCCTAGATTAGCAATAGTGGCATCAGTGGGGGAACGTTTGTCAAAACCTTGTACAATCCTTGCAAAGTAACGCTGGGTGCTTTCAGCTAGTTTAACATCTTTACCATGCAGAGGAGCTAGTAATTCACATAAAAACTTGTTCTTAAGATCATTCTTTTCCATATCTCAATACTTGCTTACTGATGTAAGTCACTACTATTTAGACCAACAGAGAGGAGAGAATTAATAGTACGCCTTGCTTTTGTGCAGCTCTCTTCAATATATAATTTGAAAGAAAGATTACTTTGTAGAACAACACCCGCATATTTTACATTATCAAACATAGGTATGTCATTGTCCCCAAGGTGATAACACAAAAATTGCTTCTTTTTATGAAACACAACAATTTTACTTTTCGATGCATTATAAGTTAATCGCCATTTGGATGCGTAATTAACAACTGTATCTAAGGCTGTTTGCAGACCTTTAGGGCTGTAACTGATGAGAGTAGTATCATCAGCAAGTACCACGCATGGTAAACTAACATTATATATACATATTCCTGTATCTAACTGCCGAAGCTCAGTTATGAGGTCATTTATGTACACAAGAAAAAGCCAAGCTGAGATAACTCTACCCTGACCTATACCTTGTCTAACAGCAAATGCATCACATTGTTCGCCCTTATACTGAACACACGCATACATGGAAGTATAACAGTGATGTAACAGAGATCACATTTTACCTCTAATACCAAGATGATAGAGTTTTACAAAGAGACCCGAGTGCCATATTCGATCAAAAGCTTTCTCGTTTTCTAGAAATGCTGTGTAGATACATGATCCCCTGTTAACATAACTTTGTACACATTCGATGAGGGTAAAGAGCGACATAACATCACCGTGCGCCTTCCTAAAGCCAAACTGCAACATATCGGAAAAATTACAGGCATTTCGGGATGTCAACGTTTCTAATCGTTCTAGTAGAATTTTCTCAAAAAGCTTACAAAGGCAAGTTGTTAGCGTAATCTATAATTGACAGGGTTTGATTTATCTTTTTAACCCTTATAAATAGGTATAATTACCCCATGTCTATAGGCTGCAGGTGTGTACTGTAGTTTAAGAAGAGCATTAAATAATTGTGCTAACTTCCCTACCAGCAGATCACCACCAAACATCACATGTTCATTATTAATATTTTCAGGGCCAGGTGATTTGTTCCTCCTAAATGTCTGTACATATCTAGTCACTTCCTGAACCGATATTTCAGCTTATAGTACATTATCAACACATGAGTTAGATTCATTACTGGAGGCTAATTTCTCAATTTCATAGTCAATACCATCTTTAAAGTCTTGATCAAAATGGTCGGAGTAATATGGTTTTGCTAGATCCGCATAGTACCTACCACAAAGCTGACATATGTCATGATCAGTGGGGGTTGTTACATTACGGTCATCATACGTAAGTTTTTCAACTCCGATCTTCTGCTTACGTAGTTTTCTCACTGATTTATAAAACGTATTCACATCAGTATCGCAAGTTTTTTCTAATTCCAAACAAAATTTTCCTGAATAGGCCTGCTTTGACTGTCTGTGGCGACGTCGGAATTCTCGCTTAGCTTGCTTGTATGATGTATAAGAATGGAAACTATCCCCCTTGGTTCATCCTCGGATAACCATCTCCGCCTTGTAACTCGCATGTTATAATGGTCTTGGTGTAGCCCATCCTGTTTCCAGTAAGGCTTCAGATGAGCCTTGAAACTACCTACTGGTAAAGACTATCGATAAACAAGTCTCTGCATTGTTTAGCAGTGTATCAAGACAGGCCTTGTGCGAAGAGATCTCAATATTGGAAGCTTTGTCCCATTTAACAAAATATGCTTCTTTAACCTTTTGCTTTACATTATCATTTACATCTACTTGTATGGTAGCTACACATGGGAAGTGATCGCATACATCATAACTAGTGAATAGCACTTCACTTGAGCTAACGTTACTCTGCAAATGGGAAGGAATCAGGATATAATCACAGATTTCCTATGTGTAAAAATAATGGCTTATATAAGAATATACCAAATCAAAATCACAAAGGCAAAGTTGGGAAGCTGTTTTGGCTACCGCCAGTTTCGAAACTAGTATCAACTCCAGCCAATATTCCACATCTTTTGAGGTACAATCGAGCATGCTCTGTCCACAAACATTTCAAAGAGCGTCAGAAGTTGTGATCAAGGTTACAACATCCAATTCAAGGCCCCAGAAAAGCTTTCAAACCGTTTTATGGTAGACACAATTCTATAGTTGACGCATCATTACAAAAAATATGTCCTATGCAACTCCTTATGTTCACTTGTACCTTATGTTACTGTGTTTTGTCAGGTGAATTATTGACATGTCTTTGCATGTGTTTGTGGGGTGTGGCAAGGGGCAGGTTACGCTCAGTTTTTCGCGAGCACCTGGTATCGTCACTATGTGATAGCGATTCATAAACACATGTTCATGATCTCATTGTTCGGAATCGTACAATCGACTCTGCTTTTTGCCGAGATTTCTTGTTGATCATGTTTGATGGCAGGTGAGTCATCTTCATAATGATCAAAAGGGTACAGTTTGTACATTGATACTTCCTATTCTCTTTCATAAGTGCGACGTCATGAAACTGTTCCTCCTCTTCGTTCTTGTGTGTCTGGCGGCACCCTCTGTTGGGTGGAGATTCCGCTGGAAATGGGTGGCTGCAGCAGCAGCCGGTGCGTTGCTTGGGAAAAGAGGTACACTGTCTTTGAATCGTCAGATTGGTAGGATGTACCATTATGAGTGAGGGTGTTGGCGACCAACGCTGAAACGGAAGGAATAATTAAAAGGATGGAAGTCATAAGAGATAAACCCCGTGGGTTACAATTGGCCTTCAGGAACCCGTGCTTGTCGCCAGAGACGACTGACGGTATCAGAAAACAAACAAACAAACAAATTCTTTGATTAAACACATGAAAATGGTTATGAAACTGACAGACTTGGGGCCTATCATTACAGGACCAAAAACTAGGTATCGAAACGTTGCAGCAATGCATTGATTGGTGCATTTGTTGCCGGACCTCTGGGTAAAACAATTGAAATGTCCCCGAAAGGCTTAACTCTGCATTACTATGTCCATATTACATTTTAAAACCTTATTACAAAGAAAACACAATAGAAATCAAATATGGACTAACTAACTGTTTGATTTTTTTTAAAACAAAACAAACAAGTCTCTAGGAATTTGATTTAATTTAATTTAAGGTAACGACTTCTGATATTTTAAATTAAAGAAATATTACACTGACATATAACCTTAACTTTACATATCATTGTAAAGAAACTGAGCAAAGAAGCTTTAATCAAAGTTGTGTTGAACGTGAATAAGGATATATTGACAGACATTAATATAAAAAAATTACCGTTAGGAAGAATCTTTTAAGTCACACAGATTTCCTTTTATTAAGAAAGAACTAACATATATGAACTTTATGACAAGCATGCAATTCCAACAATGAATATGAAATTGTCACTGAGCATTATGCGTAACATTTAGCGTGTTAGAATCTTAAAAAGCAGTAACAAACACGGTTTATAACCATTATACAGATATTGAGGCCTTCGACCTCAACAAGGACGGGTATGTTGATCAGGCAGAAGCCGAGAAACAACTGAGCACCAGAGATGCTGAAAGCCTCATGAAGATGGCTGATAAAGAAGTAGATGGTAAGTTGTTAATACTAGTAAGTATATATTGGATTCAAACAGTTTAGAGGCTTTTAGGTTTTAGAGCAAAGAAAATGGATAAGTTGACAGGCGTGTTTGACTTGTCTTTGCGCGTGTTTGTGAAGGGTACCATAGGTGGGTGAGGATATGCTTATCTTTTCGCGAACCCCAGATATAATCACTATTTGATAGTTGTCCAAAAAAACAGATGATCATGAAATAGTCGTAAACGTACAATCGACTGTGCTGAGGCGGACATTACATATTATTTTGTAAATGTTTTTTGTTGCTTTTATTTACATCATATATATGTCTAACTTGTTGTTATGAAAAGACAACATTAATATTCTAAACTTTTAAAGACTGTCATAATTCTCAATGGATCAAGACATCGAAAGCTTATGGAGCATGAACATATAATCTTAAAAAAACAGAAACGCATAGCCAGATTTGTGTGAGGTAGGAAAATACGTTTATACGAGGAGCCGTAGAAGGTATTGAGCCAAACTGTTGTGGGACGTAGCCGTCTATCATCCCACAGGTGCTCTATTGGGTTCAAATCCGGGGATCTGGAGGGCCAGGGGAGAACATCAACGTTGTTGTTGTGTAGACAGGCTCTTGTGATCCCTGTTGTATGCGGTCGAGCGGTGTCCTGCTGGAATACACCGTTGCCGTTGGCTGCAATTGGGAGGACGTATGGTAGGAAAATTTCGTTGATGTATCGTGGAGCCGTAGGATGTGGACCAAACCTGTCCTTCCATGATGAGAGATGGCCCCCCACATCATAACGCTACCCCCACCAAACCTGTCCACTTCCTGTACGCAGTTCCGGCACAACGTTCTCCCCGACGTCTGTAGACCCGTGCTCTTCCATCCCTTCGACGGAGGAGAAATCTTGATTCTCTGCTGAACCAGACATCTCTCCATCACAGTTGATACCCATACCCTTGCTCGTAGACCTGCTGCTCTTAAACGGTTTCGTATGGTCTGGTCGGAGATTCTGCGCAGTCCAGGTATTTGGGATGCGGTTGAGGTTGCCGTGGTCGTCCTTTCACGTAGGATGACGGATGAAGCGATCTTGGGCGAGGGTGGTTACGCTTGGTCGTCCCGACCTTGGCCGATCACGTGTTGACCCATGCAGTTTAAACTGATCCAATAGCCTTGTGATGGTGCTGGCGCTACTTTGAAAACCCTGGCTACAGCTGATCAGCCCGCAAACGGCCTATGACGTTGTTTCTTTGCACTTCTGTTAATCTTGGCATGTTGTTGAACTGTCACTATTCGATTGACGCAGATACCAGGCAATAAAAAAAACCTGCACTTCAGTACCGTTCATAGTGCTGCTGCACGTGCAGTACGTGCAGCTCCGTGGCCCTTTTGTTAATGCACTGGGTGCGTTTTTCCGAATCGTACGTGTTTCCCGACTAATGGTTTGCATGTCCTTGTTGTGATCATTTTGATGCGGGAAATTTGTCACTGAATCTATCACACATTAAAACTCTTTATTTTGCACCTCTTGGTCCGCTAATTTTGCTTTTATGGCCAAAAATATCCGTATTGCGTTTGTTTTTTTAAGAATATAATTGAAAATTAGGAGATCAATAAAAGAGTATACATTGTGGGTTTGGGATTCAATTGTCATCGTTCTGACCGAGTACAGGTACGTCAAATCAGACAATAACATGTTGCTGATCAGAAAATCTTAGCTTTATGTCATACTGTTTGCAATATATTGCATGTGTACTTTGTTTCAGGGAGGTCGGCTGTATCTGTGAAGGAATTTGCACGCTATCTCCAAGATGTCCAGCAGGATCCTGTTAATTAGGGAACTGTACCTGGTACCTGGATGGATTCCATGCGTATCTATAAAACGAATTCTGATCGACCGGTTTGAATCTCATTGTGATAATTAATTGGTCATCAGTATACGTGGTCTTTAGTACGGCAATAAACATTTATTGTTTGAAAGATGCAGTTCTCTGTTCTCTGTTCTCAATTGCAACCTCAGCGTTGTACGCACATTAGTCTTGAAACACCCACATCACCTCTGTGAATTTGAGGTGAGGTGAGGTGAAATGGAGTTTAACGTCGCGTCCAGGTGTGTGTGTGTGTATGTGTGTGTGTGCGTATGTCTGTGTGTGTGTGTATGTCTGTGTGTGTGTATGTCTGTGGGTGTCTGTGTGTATGTGTGTGTATGACTGTGTGTGTGTATGTTTGTGCGCGCGTGCACGTGTGTGCCTCTGCGTATGTGTACATGTGTGCGTATGTATGTGTACCTGTGTGCATGTGTGTGCGTATGTACATATAAATGTATGTGAATGTCTCTATGTGTGTATGTGTGTGCGTATGTATGTGAGGTGTGTGTAAGTGTATGTGTGTGCGTATGTGTGTGCATGTGTGTGTATGTACATGTAACTGTATGTGTATGTTTCTATGTGTGTATGCGTGTGCGTATGTATGTGAGGTGTGTGTAACTGTATGTGTGTGCGTATGTGTGTGCATGTGTGTGTGTATGTACATGTAACTGTATGTGTATCTAGCAATGAACACCACAGAAAAAAAAACAAGCCGTGCATTGTGACTTATTTACTGTTATTGACATGTTTTCAGGTAAAGTACAGAAGCAGGTGCCAAACGTGTATCAAGCGAACTGATATGTAGATAAACACATGTATACATAGCGTATAGGGTGTTTGTAGCGGAGCCAGGTGGAATATATCTGCAGGTTCATCCTAAAAACCATCACCAAGGGATTCCTCAATTTGCAATTGGTCAGTGTCTCGGTTGCTGTAAGAGAATGGTGCGATCTCTTGCCCTGCATCTGTAAATGATCGAACTACTGTTAGAAATTGTCATATTAACATTTAGAATTCTAATGATCTTAAAGTATTTTCTGGAAGCTATTCAATCAGTTCTACTGGTAAACTGCTCTGATACCGCAACATACGATCAGGGTGAATATCGACCGTTAGGATAGCTTCGATAACATATAAAGTTGATACCGGACGTGCCAGTGTGTGTATCAAGTGTTTTGTTAAGCGCAATACTATCTGCAGTTAACGTAACTCTGAATTGAAATCATAACATGTTTATCTCTTATATGACAGGGGCCTAGTGTTCAAAGTGTTCGACCCGGGTTCGACTCTCCACATGGGTACAATATGCGAATCCCGTTTCTGGTGTCCCCCGCCGTGATAGTGCTGCAATATTGCCAAAAGAGGCGTGAAATCACACTCACTCACTCACTCACTCACTCACTCACTCACTCACTCACTCACTCACTCACTCACTCACTCACTCACTCACGCACGCACGCACTCACTCACTCACTCACTCACTCACATATTACCACAATTAATTTACAAACGTTTTTAAAACACAACTTAATGTTTATTAACTTACGTAAAAAAAAAAGAACACGTCCGGAACACTGGCTAAAGTTACATACAGTGAAAACTCGTTTGTTCGAATCACGCTACTATGGACAGGCGCTCGTAACGGGAGTGTCTTATAATCCGAGAAACGTTGATCCGGACCCATGATCCTTTACTCCTAAAAGCTGTTATTCTTGACGATTTCACATACAGGAAACGGTACCGTCCGGATAAACGAGTTTTTTAACGCAATTACAAGCAGTGTCAAACGCTACTCACTCACTCATAATACAAGAACTCAAGAAGAGATCAAGTTGCCCGATAACTTGCTAACGAGGCAATCAATAATTATATAAGTTGTCGTATGTACTCGTAATGTTAAGTGATAGTTAAGCTACTTTTTCGCTGATAAGAGATTACAGCATAAAGAAGCATCAACTCCCAACAATGGCCTAAATTGCATATTTCTTCTGTTTTATTATAACTGCTATATATTATCATATGTCATATAATATTTTATCAATGTTATTTCTGAATTCTCAAACTAATTTCACGCCTACCATTGTCTGTGCCGGTTGCTATTTGGAAAATGGAAGGAAACAGAAAGTCCGTGTGTGTTGAAGACCGACTCCGTGGTCTAGTGCTAGAGCGTCCGCCCGGAGAACGGAAGGTCGGGTGTTCGATCCCCGGCCTCGTCATACGCCATACGATGGTACTTGTTGTTACCCTGCCTGGCACAGTGAGGTTCCACGCGCTCGGCATTAAGGGGCTTAAACAAGGACTGATAGGCTCGGAGTCAGTATACTGTGTCTGAGTGGGTATTCATGTTAAACTGCGGCATGGAATCTCAGAGGGCTTGCACTATATAATCGACACCAGTCCTGACTAGTACAAGCGGACACACACACACACACACACACACACACACACACACACACACACACACACACACACACACACACACACACACACACACACACACACACACACACACACACACACACACACACACACACACACACATGCATGCATTAAGTGCATTAATCTTAAGTGCGACGTTAAACCCCATTTCACTTCACTTGTTTGCTAAAAGATACAGGGAAAATTCTTATTTCATGGCAAGTCAATGTAGATGTAACAACACTTAAAGTAGCATCAGTTAATGCTAATTTAATTACCACTCTGTGCAACCCTTTGCAATGACATTAACTTATGAAACAATTTGAGGTTTAATAAAGCAGTAGGCTTTAACGTACACATTGGTCAATGAACATTTGATACAATCGGGTCCTGTATTTGAAGACATGCATTTGTTAAGGGATAATTTGGAATCGGACGACAATGAATACTTTCAATGCTAAGAGGCGATGAGTACCTTTTTTCCCAATAATTCCTGCTGCAATCACAGATTTAACATAGCTACGCCACTGGTGGCGCCGCATGCTACCAACATCTGCAGCAATCAGACACAGCAGCAGGAGGGTGACCAACAGTAGCTTCATGTTCGGCAACTGTGAAACCAATACATGTATTAAAACACCAACAATCAATGCTTCTATTGGTATTCATGGATTATCCAATGATTTTCCATAGTTTAATGAAGCTGCTCCCAGCCAGATCGTGTGTATAAATGACACATCAAATAATGCCATCTGTAAGGCCAGTATGTTAACTGAGGAAGGAATCTGCCAAAACCATAAATCAGTACTGTCAAGTTTTTACTTGACGCCAAAGCACCATAAAAATCCGCACAGAGAGAGATACATGGGTCCAGCAAATCCCTGTCTCAAAAACAAACCATAATCCTTAATACAACCAAGGAAGGACCTTCTTTATATTCACAGAAAGTATTTGACAATCTCAGAAAAGAACCAATTTCCATTCTGTCAAAACATTTGATTTTTCAACTTAGTACACCACTATCCCACATGACAAACTTAAGGAAAACTTCATTATTGATCCATGGGGCTTTTGTTACAAAACGTGGTGATCACAGATACAGTTACGTATCTATATTCAGAGGTTGAAGACAATTTGTGAAAAATGAAAGTTCACTGAGAAAACGATGCGTGAAATGCTGGACTTCCTCACTGATAAGATCTGTGTGTAAAATGTGGGGTAAGACATCCAGGCAAAATGTAGACATCCTCATTGGTACCAAGAGTGCTCTCCTTCGTGCGGATCTGTTTCTTTATGCATATGAATCGGAATTTCTTCTCGGATTGGCAAAGTCAAAACAAGATAATTTGGCCAAGACGTTTAACTTAAACTTCAGGTATATCGATGATCTGATGTCGTTCAATAACAATCAAATAGCTAATTCCCTTTCACTGATTTACCCACCTGAACTAGAAAAAAGAGACCAGTGAGGCCGCCGCATCTGTTTCATGTTTAGATCTATGCATTAGGATTCAGAGTGGCAAAACACTCTCTACAAGACTGTATGACAAGAGGTGTGACTTCAGCTGTCCAACAGTCAACTTTCGCTTCACGACGAGCAATATTCCAGAAGCTCCAGCATTTGGTGTTTACATTTCACAAGTTTTGAGATACAATCGAACATGCTCTTTCTACGAAGATTTCAAAGAGCGTCGTAAACTCTTGCTCAGAAGTTTGATCAAGGTTACAACATTCAAGGCCTCAGTAAAGCTTTAAAAAAGTTCGGCGGTTGACATGTGGAGGACATTTCCAAATTTGAAGCATCAGTGACAAAGGTGATGTCCGATGCAAGTCCCTATTTTGACTTGTACCATATGTTTTTTTCAGGTGACCAATTGACTTGCCTTTGCATGTATTTGTGACGGGTACCACCGGGTTGGGGGGGGGGGGGGGGGGGTCAGGATACCTTCACCTTTCGCGAACACTTGGTTTTATTACACATGCTCATGATAAAGTCGGAATCGTACAAACGACAATGTATATTTCTTATGATTATGAAAATGGTTTTGTTGCTTTATTCCCTTGAGCTACAATACGACTGTATGGCTTGAATACTGCCGACTGAGTCAGCTATATTAAAGCCACATACAGAGTAACATAAATATCAGGATATAGAAGACAGTCATCAGTATGATATGGATGACACGACCTATGCAGTCATCTGAGCGGGATAGATGCTATGACCGTGGGAGTCATTACCACAGTATAGATGATAAGTCATGACAACCCTCAGTCCATAACTAATAAGTGTAGTGACAGTCATCACAACGATCGATAAGATACAGTTGTGACAAGCATCCTTTACATGCAGGAACAACCTGCGGGATTCAAGTTCAGAAAAGATCCCCAGTACATCAGGTGAGGTGAAATTGGGTTTAACGTCGCGTCCAAGATTATTGTACTTATATAGCGACGTGCATGCACGTGTGTGTGTGCTGCTTGTACTAGTATTGTACTTTTATAGAGCAAGCCCACAGAGATACCATGCCGCGGTTTAACACGAATACCCCAATCAGACACAGTATACTGACTCCGATCCGACCAGTCCTTGTTTTAGCCCCTTAATGCCGAGCGAATGTACTTTGAATACGCACGATAGTCATGTCGTTACGCTGAATCTATCCCAGATGCTTAAACGAATGAACTATTTGTCAGTTTACCTTTCCTGGAGATCTGTAGGTGAACCGAAGCAGGTGAACGTATAGAACTATCTGTATTCTCCCATGCCTGTGTAAGTATATCATGGTGGGTGTGGAGAGGTGATTTACTGCTCTGTGAACTCTTACCTTTGGGTCCCAATGCGTAGCGACCCTAACATTCTCTTTAATATTTGTCACAGATGTGCGACAGACGGGACCATGTACAGCAGTTCGGGACAATATCACAGCAAGCGAGATGACCACCATTTGTCAACTCCACAGGTGACAGCTCTAAATAGAAGAACCATGCATCATTTCCCATATAGCAAAATCAGAGGGGGAAATGTGATACTCAACACAGTTTCAGATTGTAGCTGTCATGCGATCGAAAAAGTATTGAACTCTATCATCGATAAAATATCACCATAACATGATGTCTAGCCATCACTCCTCCTAACCTAACATTTCAAACATTAAAATCTAAAACATATAATTATGAGTGAGTATTGTTTACGCCGCTTTTAGCAATATTCCGGCAATATCACGGCGCAAAGGCTCCTTATGCATGCAACTTATACACATGTATGTGTATCGACCAGTTCAAGGCAACATATACACCTGTACGTGTATCCACCAATCAGAGTCAACTTATACAAGTGCATGTGTATCGACTAGTTAGAGTCAGCTTATATACCTGTATGTGCATCGACCAGTTCAAGTTAACTTTTACACCTTTACTTGTGTCGACTAAAATATGGGTAAACACTTCGTGAATGGATCACTGAAAATCAGTAATGACACCGGGTGTTCGCATATCCTGGCTGCAAAGAATACAAGAATACATTCATAAACATATGTGAGGGGCTAGCATGTGAACAGTCATCGTCAATACTTCAACATGGCGGAACGTAGTGTATGCAAGTTTCTTTGAAGGGCACGTGGAGTGTTGATGTTGATGATACCCCGGAAAGGCCCGGGGCATCTATAATGGTGGTGCTGATGCAGGAGTCCAGATGGATGTTGAGTGCATCAAAGCAAAAAAAGTGTAGGTTTCCGTTTTCCTGAAACCTTCCAGATACCTTCAGCAACCTTCAATTATATTGGTAATTTTCAGATATTTTTTTATGTGTTTCACACTTAATTGAACAAATTGCACACACACACACACACACACACACACACACACACACACACACACACACACACACACACACACACACACACACACACACACACACACACACACACAAATTTTGACTTCTTTTAAAGGTATTCGGAAGGTTTCCAGAAAACGGAACCCTACACTTTTTTGCTGTGTATGTCGGAAACCCATTCTCGAATTTGGACCTGTTTGAACATGTGTCACCATGCGTCAATGCTCGATGATTTATGTTCAGGATCAATAAGTTACAGACCAACATGCTGTAACTGTGACACTGAGGGCTCTCCAGTGGCGGATCGAGGCGATTGCGATTTTATGACTGATTCACCAGATTCCCATCACCACACGAAATATACCATAGCGCATAGATGTCCTTTCTCCGTCAAACTAAATTGAGTAGAGTGTCTGTCAAAAGCCAGAGAATAATTAATCTCGATTATCCGCCGAAAAATTTATTCCATTGGGCGTAAAAGGCAAAATAAATTTTGAAATTATATGAATGGATCACTGAAAGTCCTTGATGACACCAGGTGTTCAAGAAAATGGTAAGCATGTCCTGTTCCACCGGAAAATATGTCTCCAAACGTTAACACATTTTACGTTTTAATAAAAAAATTATACACGTAACATCAACTAGTGTGACGGAGACATGGAGAAAGATTTCAGGATTCCCGCGAAGCCGAACATGACAGCTATGATTTAGGATGGGATCTGTGGAGCTGGAAGAACCTATCTCCATGTCCTACATCGAGGAACGATGGTGTGTGTGTGTAGGGATGGCATCCTGGATGTGTACTTGAGACGAATACGCACATGCCAGGGTCAATGTACCCGGGGCCAACTGGGAGCAGGAGACCATCACGACGCCCTGTCCTTCCGGCAACTCGACAGGAAGTCGGCAATTCTCTTAACTGAACAGTGGACACATACACTTCGCAACCATCCAGACACTCATTGGGAGCATGACGCAACCATCCAGACACTCATTGGGAGCATGACGCAACCATCCAGACACTCATTGGGAGCATGACGCAACCATCCAGACACTCATTGGGAGCATGACGCAACCATCCAGACACTCATTGGGAGCATGACGCACCATCCAGACACTCATTGGGAGCATGACGCACCATCCAGACACTCATTGGGAGCATGACGCAACCATCCAGACACTCATTGGGAGCATGACGCAACCATCCAGACACTCATTGGGAGCATGACGCAACCATCTAGACACTCATTGGGAGCATGACGCACCACCCAGACACTCATTGGGAGCATGACGCAACCATCCAGACACTCATTGGGAGCATGACGCACCATCCAGACACTCATTGCGAGCATGACGCAACCATCCAGACACTCATTGGGAGCATGACGCACCACCCAGACACTCATTGGGAGCATGACGCACCATCCAGACACTCATTGGGAGTATGACGCACCATCCAGACACTCATTGGGAGCATGACGCAACCATCCAGACACTCATTGGGAGCATGACGCAACCATCCAGACACTCATTGGGAGCATGACGCAACATCCAGACACTCATTGGTAGCATGACGCACAACCCAGACACTCATTGGGTGCATGACGCACGACCCAGACACTCATTGGGTGCATGACGCACAATCCAGACACTCATTGGGAGCATGACGCAACCATCCAGAAACTCATTGGGAGCATGACGCAACCATCCAGACACTCATTGGGAGCATGACGCAACCATCCAGACGCTCATTGGGAGAATGACGCAACCATCCAGACACTCATTTGGAGCATGACGCATCCATCTAGACACTCATTGGGAGCATGACGCAACCATCCAGAAACTCATTGGGAGCATGACGCAACCATCCAGACACTCATTGGGAGCATGACGCAACCATCCAGACACTCATTGGGAGCATGACGCACCATCTAGACACTCATTGGGAGCATGACGCAACCATCCAGAAACTCATTGGGAGCATGACGCAACCATCCAGACACTCATTGGGAGCATGACGCAACCATCCAGACACTCATTGCGAGCATGACGCAACCATCCAGACACTCATTGGGAGCATGACGCAACCATCCAGACACTCAATGGGAGCATGACGCACCATCTAGACACTCATTGGGAGCATGACGCAACCATCCAGACACTCATTGGGAGCATGACGCAACCATCTAGACACTCATTGGGAGCATGACGCACCATCCAGACGCTCATTGGGAGCATGACGCACCATCCAGACGCTCATTGGGAGCATGACGCAACCATCCAGACACTCATTGGGAGCATGACGCACCATCGAGACGCTCATTGGGAGCATGACGCACCATCCAGACACTCATTGGGAGCATGACGCAACCATCCAGACACTCATTGGGAGCATGACGCAACCATCCAGACACTCATTGGGAGCATGACGCATCCATCAAGACTCTCATTGGGAGCATGACGCAACCATCCAGACACTTATTGGGAGCATGACGCAACCATCCAGACACTCATTGGGAGCATGACGCATCCATCCAGACACTCATGGGGAGCATGACGCAACCATCCAGAAACTCATTGGGAGCATGACGCAACCATCAAGACACTCATTGGGAGCATGACGCACCATCGAGACGCTCATTGGGAGCATGACGCACCATCCAGACACTCATTTGGAGCATGACGCAACCATCCAGACACTCATTGGGAGCATGACGCAACCATCCAGACACTCATTGGGAGCATGACGCATCCATCCAGACTCTCATTGGGAGCATGACGCAACCATCCAGACACTTATTGGGAGCATGACGCAACCATCCAGACACTCATTGGGAGCATGACGCATCCATCCAGACACTCATGGGGAGCATGACGCAACCATCCAGAAACTCATTGGGAGCATGACGCAACCATCAAGACACTCATTGGGAGCATGACGCAACCATCCAGACACTCATTGGGAGCATGACGCAACCATCCAGACGCTCATTGGGAGCATGACGCAACCATCCAGACACTCAATGGGAGCATGACGCACCATCCAGACACTCATTGGGAGCATGACGCAACCATCCAGACACTCATTGGGAGCATGACGCACCATCCAGACACTCATTGGGAGCATGACGCAACCATCCAGACACTCATTGGGAGCATGACGCAACCATCCAGACACTCATTGGGAGCATGACGCATCCATCCACACACTCATTGGGAGCATGACGCAACCATCCAGACTCTCATTGGGAGCATGACGCAACCATCCAGACACTTATTGGGAGCATGAAGCACCATCCAGACACTCATTTGGAGCATGACGCATCCATCCAGAAACTCATTGGGAGCATGACGCAACCATGAAGACACTCATTGGGAGCATGACGCAACCATCCAGACACTCATTGGGAGCATGACGCAACCATTCAGACACTCATTTGGAGCATGACGCAACCATCCAGACACTCATTGGGAGCATGACGCATCAATCTAGACACTCATTGGGAGCATGACGCACCATCCAGACACTCATTGGTAGCATGACGCAACCATCCAGACACTAATTGGGAGCATGACGCATTACCCAGACACTCATTTGGGAGCATGACGCATACGCGCTACGGAGTGTCGGGGCTTTTTGACGTTTCAGTTTGGGCCAGATACTCTCATTTGACAGCTGAGCTGACTGAGTATTGGTCATATGTTGTTTGCTGCCAATGTGTGGACGGACTTTTCCGTCTTCACGCAATATTGTCCTTGGCCGTTAAAGGCGACTTTGCTTGTCGTAAGAGGCGACTAACTGGATCGGGTGGTCAGGCTCGCCGACTTGATTGGTGCATGTCATCGTATCTCTAATTGCTTGGATCGATGCTCATGATGTCCATCACTGAATTGTCTCGATTATTTACATCAATATTAAATAGCAACATGAAAGTCTGTTAAACTAAACGAATTGTGTTGATTAAAAAGAAGACAATACCGAATTATTTGCAGATTTTATTCATGCATGAAAAATACTTTACTCAGTGATCCGTAATTCGGTGAATAGGATTTTCGTACGTCTCTACTCTGAAACAAACATAAAGCTTTTTAACAGTCATCTTTCCAGGGTGTAGCAGTTAGTATGTTTAATACAGCCGCTAGCAATGGGAGGGGTCAACTTTGGCAGTCGTACTGGTTTCAAATTGGTATAAATCGCCTCCGTGGTCTGGTGGTAGAGCGTCCGCCCGGAGAGCGAATTCGAAGGTCCGGGGTTCGACCCCCGGCCGCGTCAAAGATGGTACTTGTTGTGACCCTGTCTGGCGCTCGGCATTAAGGAGCTAAACCTTATAGTCAGTATACTGTGTCTGAGTGGGGTATCCATGTTAAACTGCGGCATGGTATCTCAGTGAGCTGGCACTGAAATCGGCATCAGTCCGGACACACACACACACACACACACACACACACACACACACACACACACACACACACACACACACACACACACACACACACACACACGCACGCACGCACGCACGCACGCACGCACGCACGCACGCACGCACGCACGCACGCACGCACGCACACACACAAATTGTAATTTCCACAAAGTATAATCAAACATATCAATAACTCAAATGTCAGACTGACTGATCAATCAAACGCAAATTCGTTATATAGATACGCATGTCAAAGAACCACATCCATACCATGTACAGTACCCTACTTACGGGATCGTTCTAGATATCCTGAAGATAGCGTGTAAACTCATTCACAGATACAGCCGACTTGCCTGAAACAAAGATCACAAACATCATATTGCAAAAGGTAGGACATAAAGTTCATAATGTCAGCAACATGTTATTGTCTGATACATGTACAGTAAACTCCGGTTATAACGAACTCAAAGGGACCACTAATTTTAGTTCGTTATAATCGTAGTTCGTTACAGGCATATAAACAGCATATATACAGCAAACAAGAACAGTTCGTTTTATCTGTCAGTTCGTTTAAAGCATGTTCGTTATAAACGTAGTTTATTGTATTACCTGCTTTACTTTAAAACCGGTCATGATGGTGACAATAGAATCTAAAACCCACAATATATGTTCATGTTGATGTTCCATCGGCGTTTGATGTCTTGATTTATTGAGAATTATGATAGTCTTTAAAATTTAGAATATTAATTTTGCCTTTTCATAACAATAAGTTAGACTTATATGTATGATGTAAATATAAAAAAACAAAAAACATGTCCATTATCATATGAAACCTCTGCTCAAGCACAGTCCATTGTACGATTCCGACTATTTTATGATCATGTGTTTATGAATAACTATCAAAGAGTGTTCGCGCAAAGGTAAGCATAGCCTGACCCACCGATGGCACACGCCACAAACACATGCAAAGACAAGTCAAAACGCCACAAACACATGCAAAGACTAGTCAAACACGCCTGTCTACGTACCCTTCTATTTGCTTCTAACGAAGCCTCTAACCTGTGTGTTTTCAATATATTTTCACCACTTACCATCTACCTCTTCATTAGCCATCTTCATGAGGGTTTCAGCATCTCTGGTGCTCAGTTGTTTCTCGGCTTCTGACTGATCAACATACCCGTCCTTGTTGAGGTCGAAATTCTCAATGCCTGTATATTGGTCATAAACCATGTTTGTTACTGCTTTTTAAAATTCATAAATCATTTGTCTTAAGTTAAAATGAGTTGAATTATGAGTCATGATTCTTATAGACACACCTTTATGTATTTGCAAAAGAAAAACATGAGTTTTGAGCAAAGGAAAATATTCTCGCACATGCGTGAAATATTTTGATAACGCCAACAATTAGTTGAATTAAGTTAGACTTAAGTTTCTTGTAGACACACCTTTATGTATTTGCGAAAGGAAAACATGAGTTTTGAGGAAAGGAAAATATTCTCGCACATGAACCTGCACATGGGCGAAATATTTTAATAATGCCACAAATTAATTGAATTATGTTAAAATGAGTCGAATCATGAGTCATGATGATTTTAGACAAACCTTTATGTAGTTGCAAAAGAAAAACATGAGATTTTAGCAAAGAAAAATATTCTCGCCCATGGGCCACTCTTCACAGCATAAATATTGAGGTTTCGAAAAAAAGGTTTTTACATTTTTTCTTCCTTTTTATGTACCCATGAGAACATCACGTTCAATTTTGTACATACCTTTGGCAAATACTGACCACAGCATGAAGAGTTTCTGGACAAAATGGTCTCCAGAATTAAATGGGACGTGATATAGTAATAGTTTTAACCGCCCTTAACCTTAAAATTACGTGAAATCAAATTCCTAAAGATTTGTTTTGTTTTTTAAAAATCAAGCAGTAGTTAACCCATATTTGATTTGAAATGATTTTTCGTTGAGGTTGTAAAATGTAATATGGACATAGTAATACAGAGTTAAGCCTTTCGGAGACATTTCACTTGTACTTCTGAGAGGTCCGGCAACAAATGCACCAATCAATGCATTGCTGCAACCTTCCATACCTAGTTTTTGTTCCGTTTGTGATCAGGCCCTCGTCCGTCAGCATAATAACCATTCTTATGTTTCAAAGCAAAACGTCTGTTTGTTTGTTTTTAAATGATAATGTTACATCCTACCAATCCGATGTCTATTCAAAGACAGTGTACCTCTTTTCCCAATCCATGCAACAGCTGCTGCTGTAGCCACCCGTCCCCAGCGGACTCTCCACCCAACAGAGGGCGCCACCAGACACACAAGAACGAAGAGGAGTAACAGTTTCATGACGTCACACTTATGAAAAAAAATAGGAAGCATAAATGTACGTACTTATCTTTTGATAATTATTAAGATGACCCACCTGCCATCAAACACAGAATTCGAAACATTACAAAACTATAAGCAACAAAGCCCTCTCCATATTCGCAAGAAATCTCGGCAAAAAGCAGAGTCGATTGTACGATTCCGAACTATTAGATCATGAACATGTGTTTATGAATCGCTATCAAATAGTGACGATACCAGGTACTCGCGAAAAAGTGAGCGTAACCTGCCCTTGGCACCCGCCACAAACACATGCAAAGACATGTCAATTATTCTCGAGCCAAAAACACGGTAACATAAGGTACAAATGAACATAGGGAGTTGCATCGGACATATTTTTTTGTCCGACAGTAGAATTGTGTCTGCCATAAAACGGTTTGAAAGCTTTTCTGAGGCCATGAATGTTGTAACCTTGATCACATAACTTCTGAGCAAGAGTCGTATGACGTATGATAAATCGCAAAGAACAATAAAGAACGAAGCGTTGTTTATTTCACGATAAATCATTGTTCTATCATGACGTCATTTCTGAAGATTTGAACAAGCGCTGGCAACTTGATGACGTCGTTATGTTTAAGAGGGAAGTTTCTAGTGAGTTGTTCCCCTTAGATGAAGCTGGGCAAGGGAGATAAACGCAGTGGTTGAACGATCGCGTCCAAAAGTGGGAGAGATACGACAATCGGTATTAGGAGAAAAGGTACAGATAATCGACGTGAGAATATGAGGGAATATGAGTCGGATTCTATTCAGGGAGTCATCATTATTTAAATACGGGTAATTATTTTTAAAGCTTGTACGAGTGGAGACTACCTGGTGGACCAGATAGCGAAAACTTTCATCAATGACACAAAAACATAGGCAATCGTTGGGGTAGGGGTGGGGTGGGGGGTGGATTGGGTGGGGGTTAAAATGAAGTCAGGCAGCGTGACCTTTCACAAGTAGATAAATTTCAGCCTTGTCACGTAACCTTTGGCTTTTTCAAACGCATATCGAACTGTTAAAACGACATTTTATACATTAGCGAAATTCATTCAAATATTGCCCCCGTAAAAGCACACGGAGGATATGTGATTATATACGCAGTCTATCGTAATTCGTGATTATTTTTTTATCACAATTTTATTTTTAAAATTCTAAATGTTTTCTTTGAATATTTAATGTACATTAATGTTTACATTGGGGTGAAGATTGAAACTGTGTGCTTTATGAAAGCATTTAAACAGCTCCATCCTACCCTGGGCTTACAAAAATAATTATGCGCACAGTTAATCAGCCATATAGTCATATAGTCCATATCATCAGTATTAGACTTATCAATACATCGCGAGTACCTTTGCCTGTATAATCTCTAATTAATGGTACCTAAGGCCATTTTAGCTTATAAAAGTCTAAGGCTAAGTATTTGTTACACGGCAGCCATCATAATTGATATATCACTTGTATGATATTAAACAATATCTCCCAGAAAATATTGCGCCAATATATCACCAATTGGTCGATTGATATATGAGCACTAGCCTCAGATTTAAATGTTTAAATCTAACAGAAGTGGGTATATTTTACCAAGAATTTGGAATATTTGGAAAATATTCGATTCTGATTGGTCTTTGGTTTCAAATCTCTATAACCACTGCTGATCGAAACAGTTGGTTTAACAACCGCACCGCCGCGGAAGGTAATGTTTATAGAAAACGCTTTTTCACAACTTGGTCGATAGTCACATTAAACTAAAATATGTGTGGCAACAAATGTTGAAACAAACTCAATTGAGTTAGGGCATTTCAAAATTTGGTGATAACAGCGAGCTTAGAATCTGGCAGTATATTCGGCTATGACGTCATATCCTTTGGGCACAATCAGCGGTGTGCCGTCAAAATAGCACAACAACGTGTTTCAAAGCAACTCACAGGTTTGTGAAACTAGAGCAACGTTATGACAACATACAAACTACTTTGGACAAGTCCACAATTAATATATGGGGAACATTTTTTATTGTAGGCAAGTGCACTAAAATACAGCTTTACTGTAGACGATCGGCACAGTAGGCGCATAGAGATGGAACCGTTTCACCTCTAGACTGCCATAGAAAATGTGTAAGAAAGCGTCTACGTAAGCGAACACAGTTAGCACTCCTAAAACAGGAGGCAGGTCGTTCAAGGTTTAGTTCTACATCACACATAATTAGTTCCAAATTAGTTCTCAATTCTGTTTAACCTCGCATTCAAGAAGTGGTTTGTTTGAAAAGAAAATTGTTCCCTAAAAAATAAATAGTTCCCTAGACATGTTGTATGTCCAGAAAAATGTGTTGTGAAAAAAGCATATTGTACAGCTCACAGAAATTAATTCCGAGCGCCCAATCAGAATATTAGGTGATAGGTCCACAACTCACATAACACCTCTGGGAAAGTTTCAGTAGAATTAAAGGAGTGCATATTCATTTAAGCGGAAAAAAATCAATTGTCCCAGAACGTGCTTGGATAAAAAATATTTACGCTTCAAACTGTTGACAAAACAAACAAATTGTCTGATGCAAATATGACATTACTGCAAGAGGATTTTTTTTAATGGATAATCAGGTTCACAGTTTCAGTTGAAATAATATCTAGTCTGTAAACAATTTGACTTACATGCTAAATACAACAACTTGTCAAATATGTAGTCTTTCTCATCTCGTGTAGCGTATCTGTCAGTCACAGTTAACTGTCGCCTATAGATTGTGAACGCAGCAACGGAGAAGAAGGAAAATACTCACAGACTGGACTCTGGACTCTCCTGAACTGGGTTTTGAACAATGGTGACCAGTAGTTTCAAACTTACGTTTTTATAGACAGAAAGTGTTATCCAAACCTGGCTTTGATACACGCATGGTTTTGTCACCTTTCATTTCCTCTTCAGATATCCTGTGATTGTGAAATATCTAAGCAACATGAGCTTATGACATCTGTTTCTTTCAACATGTTGAATCAGATGGAACACGTGGATAACGGTTTTCTTCCCTGGTTATATGCGGTTTGGTTGTGGTGTTTGTAATGGTTCTGGGAAGGGTTGGATGGACATAAGGGAATACAAAGGCTCATTTGTTAAATTATATCTGAACCTTTGAGTTATTTTTCTCTTTGTTTGTTAATTTCAGTGAGTGAGTGAGTATGGTTTTACGCCGCTTTTAGCAATATTCCAGGAATATCCCGGCGGGGGACACCAGAAATGAACTTCACACATTGTACCCATGTCGGGAATCGAACCCGGGTCTTCGGCGTGACGAGCGAACGCTTTAACCACTCGGCTACCCGACCGCCTCTGTTAATTTCAGACAAAACAACTGGTACTGACGCCGAACTGACGTTAGTGATTGCTTTTTCGGGAATGTGTCTCTTGAACTTTTGGTTCTCTAATGGTTCTTGATGTTTACATACATTATAGTGACAGTTCTCTGTTGAAGGTTAACAAATTGAATATGTAGTATTTGGGTAATCCATAACGGCCGGTCGGAAATATTTCTTTTATACACTGAATAACAAAAGTTCCTGTGACATTGAATAAGATTTAATGCAAATTTATGTTTTTACCAAATCTGAAACAATTTCGGTTTGCAACAGATAAAAGACTCCCGTAAGTGTTCAAATGGTTTAATTTGCCATACTGACTTCAGAAAATACGTGATTTCATTTAAAGAAAAAAATGAACATGCCAATATGTCAATTTACAAATCAAAAGCGTGTGTGTCCACTTCTGGTTGCGATGCAAGCAACACATCTTAGTCTCATGGAATGGACCAGGCGTCGCACAAAGTCCTGTGGGAACACGTGGCTGACGTCGAAGGCGCCGATCCATCTCATCCCACATGTGCTCGATTGGTGAGAGATCAGGGGAGCGAGCTGGCCAGGGGCTGACATTCACGTTGTTTTGTTGGAGAGATTCATGTACAAGTCGAGCAATTAGAGGCCGGCGTTGTCATGTTGAAAGGTAATGCCTGGGCCATGACGACGCAAAAACGGTAGAACAACAGGACCGATGATCTCGTCGCAGTGGCGCTGTCCATTGATATTTCCCTCTATCACTATCAAACGGGTCCTCTGTCTAGCTGTAATCCCACCCCATACCATAACGCTGCCACCCCGAGCCGATCTTCTTCCATGACACAATGATTGACGTATCGTTCACCTCGACGTCGTCACACTCGAAACCGTCCATCGCTGTGGCTGAGGTGAAAACGAGACTCGTCAGTGAATAGAACTTGTCCCCACTGCATGGCCGTCCAGCGTAGACGCTGTCTGCACCACTGTAGACGTGCTTGACGGTGGTTTCCTGTCAAAATGGGACGTCTGGCGGTTCTTCTCGCGACAATACCTGCACATCTGAGGCGGTGACGTACGGTTTGTGAAGATATTCGTCGAAGGCCAAGGATGCTTCTTTCAGTAACTGTTGCTGGCTTGAATCGTTTTCGAAGGTGTCTTGTTCGAATCCAGTTGTCTTGCCGATTACACCAAATGGTGTTTCTGTTGACGTTAACTTGTCTTGCAACATCACGTTGACTCGATACGCTAATTTTCGGAAAGGCGTGGCATTTCGTAATGTTGAATAATTGCGTAATTTTTTTGTTTTTCTGAGTGGTTGTTGTCAGCACGATTCTAAACGGTGCATATGGAATCCCGTTAACGCACATGTTTTTTTACCCATTCTTGGGTAGTGAAATGTATGGGGCTTGCATAAAAGTCAACTTTTGCATGGGTTGAAAAAATATTTTATCACATTTATATTTAGATGAACTATGACAGTATTTACGTGGGTGTTTTTTCATTTGAATCATGAATCTTGAAATAAAAAGAAACATTTGAGTGAGCTGAACATTTCTTGATGATGAGTACTTACTTTGTCACCGGTTTGTAAAACCAGCTGTTCACTGTCCAGCGGTCGGACGTTCTCCTTCAGTTCTTGGACCATGTGTTCGTTAGGCTGGCGCTAGAGAATTTGTTGACTAAATTTTATTCTGTAACATTTTTATCTTATGTTGTTGGTATCATATCTGTTATTTCCTAGGTCTGTGAGTATTCACTTGTTGAAAGTGTTTTTGTAACTTTGATTTTCACGCTGTAGCGGAGTTATCTAGTATAATGTATTCATTTTTCCACCTTACTAATTGTACAAATCTGGCTATAAATGTTTATTATCTTTGGGTAGCTCATGTTCAGCCTTGTTTTATAACATTGGTTTAGTAGTTAGTTGCTATTACTGCTTTGTATACTTTAGAAAGGCACATTTCTGTTCAGTCACATGGTCAGACAGCTTTCACAATAGCTAGCGGTGATTGTCTTCTCCAAAGTCCTCGCTTCACATATAAATACTCATCTCTACCAAGGACAGTTATCACCAGGAACCGTTAGGCCTTGATGGGTCTTTCTGCTACTGGGTGAGTGGTCAAACGTTGTTTGGCCAGTAGGTACTTATTGGGCATATACTATGATCCTATACTGACTTATTTTCGAGTGGTTACTGCACTAAACGTATCGGGTAGGATATTATCTTTACGTAATATACCCCAATTTATCTAGAATGTGAATAACTAATTTTCTCAGGAATATCCAGCTTAAGTCAAGTGCCTTTTCATTGTTGGAAGTCATGAACTTCTGTAGGTCAAGTAACTCTGGAAGTCAAGTAGTCCCTTTTCAATCCAAGAGACTTTTAGGGACAGGTCCCCATCTAGCCAATCCTTGGTTATCACGCATTTATAGTGCAAAGATAATGAACTCCCAGGTGTTTATTGTTCACAGCCGGTTTAATCTGCTGTCTATGTATGTTGCTGATAGTCTTGTCAGAGTGTTGACTTAGTCATCTTAGGTAATAGCTGGTATACGGTTGCACTAAGGAGCTGGCATAATCGTTCCTTGTTTATGTATCTGTGACCTTTGCCTGTGACATTTGACGTCCAGCCTCTTTAGATTGTCTCTCGTTCATTATATATGGCTGAGTGAGTGAGTGAGTGAGTGAGTGAGTGAGTTGGGTTTAACGCCGCTTTTAACAGTATTCCAGTCATATCGCGGCGTGTCAGCTTAATGTGGGAGGAAAGCCGAAGTGATGCAGGTCTCAGACGTTTACCACTTCGGTGAAACCCACGAGCACGGGTATGGTGCTGACAAACCTAGAAACATAATCGGGGCGAACAGGGATTTAAACCCACAATCATAGGTTTCTGGTGTGGCCAAGGGACGCAACTCTGCACAGCGAATCGCGGCGCCTTAGACGACTGGGCCACCCGTGCCCCCATATCTGACTGAGAGTAATACAAATGTGAACTTTTACCACGTTGTCTATCATTTCTATATTTATATTTATTTACACCCTAGTCGCAAGGGCTCAGCTCCGTGACAACTTAAAAAGAGATGTTACAAATATAGCCACAACAAATTCGTCAACCTTCTAAAAGGGAACATATTGCAGAAATAGAAAAAGGAGCATGACATTGGATAAATAATCCAGTAAAGTATCTCGAGCAACAATCCACGCCGCTAGGGTACAATAACATGCATTCAACCAAGTGATTGAACTTCGTACGACCAGACAAGGTTTATAGGCGCTTTTCTAAACCGGAATCCTCACCCGGTTGTCTGATTTAAATTTAGGGGCATACAGAGGTTGTATTTCATGTAATTGAAAATTGAAAAAAAACTTTTGTTGAATTTGAATATGTAATAAAGTTTGTAAAAAATAATTAGTGGATGGGTAATTTTGTGTAAAATACATTGGTTCAATGAAGAAATGAATTTGCAACACATGCCCCCACCCCGCCCCCACCCCCACAATGTTTGCTATTTTGTAAATCTGTGCCGAAACAAAAAGCAAAATTAGTGATTTTTAAAGATAAGATGTCTAAGATACCAACATTTGGGTATAATGTCAATTCTTTCTTTTTTTCATCTTCATAAGATTTAAATATAATTATATTTCATATATATAAAACCACATAAAAGTATTCTTTGAGTGCTCACTAAGCGCCAGTACAGTTTGGATACAATTTTGCCAACTCAGATATTTTCAATTGACAAACAGACATATGATAAAATCAACTGAGAGTTCAGTTTCAGATATGCACGTGTAATGTTACCCAGTTGAACATATGTGCTCCTATCCACGTGCTTGTCGCCTGTTCTTCCGTAAGTATATATGGCTGTGTAATTAATGCCCCATCAGCAAGTTTGCAGATGTGCTCGATCATATTTTAAACGTCACAAGTCATGCTTCCCAGCTGATCACAAGATATGCTGTTTAGCCTTAGAAGTGAAACCAATATGAGTTATTGTGGTTTAAGCATGATCATTACAGTAATACTGGCATCATAATGGGAGACGCTATGAATGGGATAGTATGTAATGGTAGACTGTTAGCCTTCTCGCGTCTCACGGGCAACTTTGTTTGTTGAGACAGGCAGATAGTCCAAGCCTCCTATACCACTGTCGGAGAGGTTATGTAAATATTGCAATTGTGATTTGGTGGAAGATGACTGTCATTTTTTACAACAATGCAGTTTCTATAAAGATTTACGGTATAATTTATATTGTGCAGCTGAATAAAACAACCGAATTTTTAATGAAATATGCGAAGAAGAGAAATTTATTTACTTAATGAATTCCAACGTTTTGCAAAAATTGCTTGCCGCAACGCTTTTTAAAATGTTTAAGAGACGACAGTCGTCGCTTTGATTACTAAATTACCTTTCTCTCTACCTATCCTTTCTTTTCCTTTCGTTGTTGAATCGAGGAGTTTGTTATTGTTTCCTGTGAGTCTTCTGATTTCGTAGCTAAATTGCACACCTCTCACATTATATATATTATGTATATATTTTGTTTATATTGTGTATAGTGTCTCATAAGCCAATGTCTGGCTGGACGCATTCCATACACCTTTTATCTTATGTGCGTCGATTTTATATTGAACAGGTTGTGCGTGTGGCACTTTAATGAACATTTTACTACTGCTGTATACTCCACAGCGAGATGAGGATGAAATTGAGTGCACACTGATCCACTGACCAGGTTAATTAGGGGCTGAAATACATCCTGGTGACAATATCTATGGATTTCTAGAAGTGACATCGTCGCGTTGTCGCCCTTATAAAACCAAGCAAACAATTAATACACGCTTGACTTATTGAGTTCCGATTCGCTATTCTTTTCATGAGACGTTTCCATACATATGCTAATACCTTTATCAAGCAAGACACAAACTGTCACTTTTTCGTACATTTTAACGCCTTTTAAAAACATTTAAGATGGGATGACATTTTAAAAAAATGTCGCATTATTTCTCAAAATATTACTCAAATCGCGACAATGCCACAGTTGGTCAAAATGTCGCATTATCCCCGATGTCGCGCCTTGGTCAGGTTAGTGACTTCTTTCTTGATTTTGTAACGTCGACAACGCGATTATGTCCTTTCTAGAATAACATTGTAATGTCGTAAAGAGTATCATAAATTGCCGACATTGTTTAGACACAGCATTTTCTCGCGCCACTTTGAACTGGTTATTACAATTATTAAATTTTAGCCATCTGTCCGCTGCTGCTTGGTCCAGACATGAACCACCAAATTACTGTTTCAATGAGTTATCATAATGTTCAACACAATCAAGGAAGCTGAGGTGAGGTGAGGTGATGTGAGGTGAGGTGAGGTGAGGTGAGGTGAGGTGAGGTGAAATGGGGTTTCACGTCGCGTCCATGATTATTGCACTTACATAGCGACGTGCAGGCACGTGTGTGTGTGGCTGCTTGAACTAGTCCTGACTGATGGCGATTAATAGTGCTAGCCCACTGAGATACCATGCCGCAGTTTTAACGTGAATACCCCACTCAGACACAGCATACTGACTCCGAGCCGACCAGTCCTTGTTTTGGCCTCTTAATGCCGAGCGCCAGACAGGGTAACAACAAGTACCATCTTTTAACGTATTTTGGTATGACGCGGCCGGGGATCGAACCCCGGACCTTCCGCTCTCCGGGCGGCGCCCTACCACTAGACCACGGAGGCGGTCCAATCAAGCCGGAAGGACTTTCTTTATATTCACAGAGCGTATGTGAAACAAGCGGAATTATACCATATGGAACCATGTGGATTCTCAAAAGCTCAAAGGATTTGCTTAATGTTTTGCAATCTCAGAAAAAAAACAAGTTTAATGTTGTCAAAACATTTGATTTTTTCAATATTGTACGCCACTATACCTCAGGACTATCAGGCCACTATCGCACACTACACAAACATCCATTCCTTGATCCATGGGGCATTTGTCACTAAACGTAATGATCATAGATATAAAGTACTAGTATTCATTAAGTAAAGCAAATGTCATCTGAGGTTTACTGAGACAATACTATTCGAGATGCTGGATCTATGTGAAATTTTGGGATAGGACATGAGGCAAGACATAGGCATCCCCGTGGGCACCAGTTGTGCTCCCGTTCTTACTGATCTGTTTCTTTGATTGAACGAGGTGGAATATCTACTCATGTTGTCAAGGTCAAAAGAAGGGAATTTGGCCAAAAGGTTTAACTTAAGCTTAATAAAATTTTAAACGTTTGAAGTACAATCGCTTTTTATGAAGATTTTAAAGAGGGTAAAAAGACCCACGTTGTCAAAGTCAAAAGAAGGGAATTTGGCCAAAAGGTTTAACTTAAGCTTAATAAAATTTTAAACGTTTGAGGTACAATCGCTTTTTATGAAGATTTCAAAAAGGGTAAAAAGACCCATGTTGTCAAAGTCAAAAGAAGGGAATTTGGCCAAAAAGTTTAACTTAAGTTTAATTTAAACGTTTGAGGTACAATCGCTTTTTATGAAGATTTTAAAGAGGGTAAAAAGACCCACGTTGTCAAAGTCAAAAGAAGGGAATTTGGCCAAAAGGTTTAACTTAAGCTTAATAAAATTTTAAACGTTTGAGGTACAATCGCTTTTTATGAAAATTTCAAAGAGGGTAAAAAGACCCATGTTGTCAAAGTCAAAAGAAGGGAATTTGGCCAAAAAGTTTAACTTAAGTTTAATTTAAACGTTTGAGGTACAATCGCTTTTTATGAAGATTTTAAAGAGGGTAAAAAGACCCACGTTGTCAAAGTCAAAAGAAGGGAATTTGGCCAAAAGGTTTAACTTAAGCTTAATAAAATTTTAAACGTTTGAGGTACAATCGCTTTTTATGAAAATTTCAAAGAGGGTAAAAAGACCCATGTTGTCAAAGTCAAAAGAAGGGAATTTGGCCAAAAAGTTTAACTTAAGCTTAATTTAAACGCTTGAGGTACAATCGCTTTTTATGAAAATTTCAAAGAGGGCGAAAAGACCCTTGCTCAAATGTACAACGTGCCGCTGAGTTACCAGCGTATGTGTTGAATACAACTGTCTCCTTGAGAAACGCCCAGTGCTTGACATTATTGGTTGTCACTTTGCAATTATGACATTAAGCAATATTTAACTTTTTCAAGGTAGGATACACAGGGCTTTGGCTTTAGATCATTGTATCCCTGTGTGCCGAACCAATGCCAATACTGTACGTACAAGGTTACCTCCCTCCCCTTAAATTCCCAGAGAACAGTAACACTAGAGCATCAACACAACGACAAAATCTGCTTCAAGAATTTATTATGTTAACATAATCAGGGACGTCCGAGTGATTTCCGATAGACATTCACGTTGTCTTCCATGGATCCTGAAAACATATGATTACAAAATGATTCGTCAGTTGAATACATCCAATTCCTGTTCAGTAATCTCACTTTAGTATCACTGAAGTTATTGATACTAATATTAATTATACGTTTAGGTAGTTCTGGTGATTTCGTCAACAGGGATGCAGGGTCATTTATGAGACAGAATCCTACCTTCACTGTGTCGCTTGTTTCTATGCGTCAGTCGCCTTTTTGGAAGATCCCGAGCCGTTCCCTGGAAAATCGATATAACATAACATGAGGTTACAAAACCTATGGGGTTGGTGGTGAGGGGGGGGGGGGGGGGGGGTAGCGGTCGGGTTGCCTAGTGGTTAAAGCGTCGCTTCTCATTCCGAAGACCCGGGTTCGATTCTCGACGTGGGTACAATGTGTGAAGCCCATTTCTGCTAAAAGCGTTGCGGTGCAAAACCAGACTCACACACTCACTCACTCACTCACTCACTCACTCACTCACAAAACCTATGCAGAAGGTAGAGAGCCTGTCAAACAAAACCAAACAAAACAATCAGCATTCTTTGGACGGGGCCGCTCCAATTTATGGTCAAAATATGGCAAAATCAATACATTAATTGTTTGATCAAAGAACTTGGTACACGTGATATATCAAATATAATCACATGTATGGCGAGTATGACAACTGAGGTAGAAATCTTCCCAAACCACGCATCAGTACAATCAAAGTTTGGTTTGACTTTAAAACCTCAAGCCACAGCAGATTTCCATGCGTTTATGACTGATGCTACCGGTAACACCTGGTATCATGCTATAGTCGGAATCATACAATGGACTCTGCAGATCTCTACTGATGTTGGAATATGATTATAATGAGGTATATTTACCTCCTTGACTTCCTTCATCGGCTTCCTCAAACAGATCTCTGGCGCTTATATGCTGCTCATCATTCTCTAATTGGTCAGCATTCTCATCTGCATTATCGATTTCTGAAAAGTATGATTTTCAAATTATGTCAATTTTAACAAAATGTAAATAATGATTTGGTTTTGAAAAAGGGCAAACTGAAGATATTTATTTATCTCATCGATAGCATCCATACTTTGTTACATTTCTCCTTCACGATACATGTGTTTCCGGTAACCTTCACCCTTGTCATGTCATAAAAATATCACAAAATGTTAGACCATTACAATAAATGTACATGCATAAAACAAGTACAAGTGGGCCCTGAGTTCTAATGTTCAGGGTACAATGCGATATGGTAGCTTGGTACGCTAGCGCTATAAACTCGACAGAAGTCCGATCACACACGTCCATGCGTCAAATAAACTTGCATGTGGCGTTAAAACCTCTTTGAACTCACCCAGAGTGTTACATCTGTTTCCATCGTACTACCCAAACCTCACACGTTGCACCTTGACATCTACCTTGATGGACTAGGCTTAAATCATACCTCTCTTCCCATAGTATCGGAACCTTGATCTGACGCCGTAACAGTGAGACAGCTGCCTTGCTGCCCTTAAGATGCAGGATGTAGTTCTTCTCCAACTCATCCTGATCCGGTAGTGTCTGTAGTTATAGCGTCCATCAGCGTGTATCGCCAGCAGGCACACCAACAGAGCCGCAACAAGTATCAGCTTCATCACGTCTAAAGAACAATAACATCTGCTCAATTAACTTGCAATAGTGCTATGCGACAGTGTATGTTGCAACTTTATTTCTGATGATGGTAAGTGGCAACTTGATTGTGGCGTTCACATAATGTTGAGTGAGTGAGTATGGTTTTACGCCGCTTTTAGCAATATTCCAGCAATATCACGGCGGGAGACACCAGAAATGGGCTTCACACATTGTACCCATGTCAGGAATCGAACCCGGGTCTTCGTCGTGACGAGTGAACGCTTGAACCACTAGGCTACCAGACCGCCCACATAATGTTAATATTGGTAGTGACCTTTATGTAGAGTAACTTCCCTTGGTTATTTGGGGTCGAACGCCGCCCCAGCGCTTGACACCTTAGTTAACTTACCGGTACTCCGCTGTGAGGAGCCTGCTACTTTTTTACAAATATTGACAGCCGATTATTCCCGACGCTTCGAAGTTCGCGGAATATCTGGACTGCGGACTGTACCTACATACGTTCTAGACGAGGGGAATTCGAGGCATCTACGACTTGACTTGCGTCTATCTATTTGCCCAGTGCGGACGGGATAGCTATTGGAAAACAAAGACATTTCTACCTGCTTCCAACACTGGCTCCTGGATGCAAGATCGGAGCACCAGCCTCATTCAAAACATTCAAGTGTGCCGAACAGTCGACATTCGGAAATGCACTGTTTGTTTGTTTGTTGTTTAACGCCACACTCACCAATATTCCAGCTACATGACGGCGGACTGTAAGTAATCGAGTCGGGGCCAAACAATCCACTGATTGACAAAATGAACATCGATCCACGCAATTGGGATCGATGACATGCATCAAACCAAGTCAGCGAGCCTGACCACCCGATCCCGTTAGTCGCCTCTTACGACAAGCAAAGTCACCTTTTACGGCAAGCATGGGTTGCTGAAGACCTATTCCATCCCGGATCTTCACGGGCCGGAATGCACTGATTGTAATTAGGATCTGATATATTCACATTACTGCTGCCACATTATTGACACCTTGTGAGATTGTAAACCTAATCCGATGTATTTTAAAATAACTTTTGATTGTTCATTGATATTGTGCGGTTATTTGATGATTTCACAATTTAGTGCTGTACGTTCCGGTTTCTGTATTAACCTCCGTGTTTCAAAAAATGGAAATCGTAACACTTTGTGTGTCTGTTTGTTGATTTGCCTGCCTGTCCAACTGATTAAGAGATAAGCATCGTGTCTTAAGATTTGTGTCAAGGAAGAGTACCATGATGCCCGCTGATTTCAGTTGGAACCGATGGCAACCCCGTCCATCGAGAGCTCAATAACAATCGCAAATGTTTTCCAATATTTTAAAATACAAAACTGATCGGTATCATTCAACATCACTCTATTTCTTAGCGTTCTCAAGGCTTGACATAAGAGGTGACTAACAGGATCGGGTGGGCAGGCTCTCTGTTTTTATTGATGCATGTCATCGTTTCCTAATTGCGTTGATCGATTTGCATGATGTCAATAACTTGATTATCTGGTCCAGGTTCGATTAAGTACAAACCGCCGCCGTATAGCTGGAGTATTGCTGTTTGCGGCGTTAAACAACAAAGAAATAAATCACTGTCAGACAGACATGTCGACATTCTAGAATAATGTCGTTATATGCATCAAAGACAACACCCTTGACAGCAGAATACTGCGATAAAATGGAGTGTTAAAAAAATTACATATCATGTCGGCACGCCGAAACCAAAATTTCTAAAATTTGGAACACATTATAAGAGTATATACATAAGTATTCAGCCGCAGTAGAATGTCTAGTCGTGGGTTTAAGTATCCTACCAGGGCCGACTGACGCAACCCTACCAGTCATGGCGTTGGGTGCTTTAGTTGATGATATTGTATTCCACATTGAAAACATTGTCTAGTAAATCTTCCATTCATTTCTTCCGTCCGTCCGATAAATGTACCATGTTCTACATCAGTAAACACACAGTCCATCAATACCTAGTGATACACAACTTACAAACAATGTTATAATGCATATTGGCATTTTTTCCCCATAAGAACGCCTCCGTGGCCTAGTGGTAGAGCGCCCGCCCGGAGAGCGGAAGGTCGGGGTTTCGATTCCCGACCGCGTCATAGTATTACCAAAAGCCGCTAAAAGATGGTACTTGTTGTTACACTGTCTGGCGCTCGGCATTAAATCGGCTCGGAGTCACTATAGTTTGTCTGTGTGGGGTATTCATGTTAAACTGCGGCATGGTATCTCAGTGCGCTAGAACTATAAATCGGCATCAGTCCGGACTAGTACAAGCACACACACGCGTGCAGGTATGCACGTAGCTATGTAAGTGCAATAATCTTGGACGCGACGTTAATCCCCTTTTCACCTCACCTCATTCCCTATAGTTCTACTTCGAGCAGTTGGTGTCATGGTCAATACGGTCAACGAATGCGACGCTAAGAAGAGCTCATACACGGGTGTCATGGCTGCAACTGACCACGTGTTCGGCCAATATTTAAAGAGCGCCACACGACTCTTGCTCAGAAGTTGTTTTATCAAGGTTATAACATTCATGCTGAGTGAGTATGGTTTTATGCCGATTTTAGCAATGTTCCAGCAATATCACGGCGGAGGACAGCAGAAATGGACTTCACACATTGTGCCCATGTTGGGAATCGAATCGGGGCCTTTTGCATGACGAGCGAACGCTTTAACCACTGGGCTACCCACATTTCCAAAATTGAAGCGATCAGTGACCAAAATGGTGTCCGATGCCCTATTTCGACTTGTACCATATATTCACGTGGTTTTCTTGGTGAACATATGACTTGGTTTTGCATGTGTTTGTGCCATCGTCGGGGCAAGAAACGCTCACCTTTTCGCGAACACCTGGTTTCATCACTGTTGGATTGTTATTATTAAACACATGCTCATGACGAATGAATTTTTTATCTACTAAGCTGACCAACTGTTTTTTCGAGTAATATTATATAGCTAGGAAACGTTTGTGGTTAAATTATAATAAATTAACCATTGTCATTTCAAAGATTCCAGCATTAAATATTTCTGAACATATAGATCAAATGATATGAATTCCAAAGTTCAAACCTTCCTCAGAAAGAAACTAGACCTTTGGCTGAAATATCTAAGACATTCATATTCGGTACACTCATTGCGCTTATGATATTGAGGTAAGATGTTTAGAAACAGCGGCATGGAAGTTTGGGATATTCTTCTTACACACCCTCAAACATGTTTTGTTTCTTTGTCACGCCGCACTCGGCAATATTCAAAGAATATGACGGCGGTTTTTGAATAATCGAGTCTTGACCATTCAATCCAGTAATTGAAATTATGAGCATCGATCTACACATGTGGTACACGATGACATGTATGAACCAAGTCAGCGAGCGCGACCACCCGATCCCGTTAGACCAATTCTAACCAGGATCTTCAAGAGGGTCCTAAAGCATGGTTTTCTCAGAGACAGACCTAAGAAGGTCTCGTGATATGAAATGTTGGAACACCGATGCAATGGTTATTTACTATTTCCCAATCATGAAACCAATCAATTTAAATTAAATGAGATGGCGAGAGTTCAAATCCAATTTGTGTCAATTGGTGTTTTTTTTCAGGTATGATGTGTGTGTGTGTGTGTGTTTGTTTGATTATTTGTTGTTTAATGCCGCACTCAGCAACATTCCGGCTATATGAGAGCGATCTGTAAATAATCGAGTCTGGACCGTACAATCCCCTGATTGACATCATGGGCATCGATCCACGCAATTGGGATACGATGACAAGCAACAAACCAAGTCAGCGAGCCTGACCACCCGATCCCGTTAGTCGCCTTTCACGAGAAGCATAGTCGCCTTTTACGGCAAGCATAGGTTGCTGAAGACCTATTCTACCCCGGATCTTCACGGGTCGGTATGATGTGAGATTTGTGCATGCTCAAAAGTTCCAATGACTTTTTCCATTACACTGTCAGAGTGAGGCAAGCAAAGAAAGTGTTATCCCAAATATAAAAATTGTTACATTTGATCACTTTCTAAATGGCATTGTGTGGTCATAGCTTTCGGCCATGGGAGCCGTGCCAATTTACACATGTCTTAGGGGTACTCAAAGTACGAGGCTAGACTGCCTGTTGTTTGGTGAAAGCCTCCCTGGCTGAGTGGGTTAGATCGCTAACTTTATGTGCTGACGATTAGGTACCCCATCTTATAATTAGGTGCCTATAAATGTCAGTGAAGGAGGGAGTTTACCACGTTTTACCTACATTCCATACACGCTTGGTACTACAGTAAAGTACGGTTATAACGAACTCAAAGGGACTACTAATTTTAGTTCGTTATAACCGTAGTTCGTTATAAGCATATATACAGCATAACTACAGCAAATAGTCGGGACCAAAAAAGTAAGTTCGTTATATCCGTCAGTTCGTTATAAGCGTGTTCGTTATAACCGTAGTTTACTGTATGTTTAACGTTAACCTTTTTAACAAATAGTCTACCCCACAGCTTTTAGATGTCTATAAGCTAGTACTGCCAAAGAACCGGATATAACAGATCTAGAGGCGCACATCTCCATGTATATGACGAAAAATAATACTTACATCGTAGTTGTACGTATCTTCTTGCAGTGATAGTTTATGCATATCTTGGCCGCCTTATATAGACACATAGTGTCATCAAAACATGTCGCATATTGGCACCAACTAATAAAAAAATTACCATGACTTTCACACCAAATACCTGTCCGTCGTTTTGAAACTGTGAAATCATGGGGCTTTTTTTCATAAGGTGTAGTTGCTTGCCGAGGAACATGGTGTCGATTCCCAGATCATGTATCATACCATGCTTCGAAGTGTCATTTTGTAATTAAACTGGGCGTACAACATGCCAGAAAACAATTTGTGGGTAATAGACCATTCATCAATATTTTAACACAGCGAAACTATTGGTAAACAGGATCTGTCAGTTTCACTTAATAATGTCACACATTCAGTTGTTGAACAACAGAAGAAAAAAAACATAGATTCAGTGTTCATGTGTAACGCGGGCAATAGATATTGACAGGAAACGTTTGACAAATATATAACTTGGCACGTCAGTAATAAAATTCAAATCAGAAGTTTATATATTGTCAATGTATTTTTACGTTAAATTAAATAAAAGCGACAAAGCCATTTTCTTAATCATAAGAAATATACATTGTCCATTGTACGATTCCGACTCTATCGTGATCATATGTTTCTGAAGCGCTATCAAATTGTGATGATACCAGTTGTTCGCAAAAGGTGACCGTATCCTGACCCACCAGTGGCACTCGTCACAAACACAAGCAAAGGCAAGTCAAGTGTTAGTTAACCTGAACAAAAACATGGGAATATAATGTTAATATCAAAACAGTGATTTGCGGCGAGTCTTTCACTTCTAGTTCAAATGGATAACTCCGTGGGAGGGAATTGACTATTTGACCACTGTCGCCTGAAGCTTCAGATAAACAACTTGGTCATATAGCCTTGTTTTGATCTTTGCAGTCAGAGCAGAAATACATAAATACCTTAAGAAACCAATCATTGAGGATTGGTGCCCATGGGGATGCCTAAATGGCATATCCCCAAATTTAATATCTATGGGGAACTCCAGGATTTCACATTTTGTTTTCTAAGTAACAATTTCCTTTCAATATTTCAAGATAGAGATGTGATCGTGCAATCGACAATCTTATGAGTATGGAATATGGAAAGGGTTTTGTCGCTATTATTTACATTTAAGGTCACCACGTTTAATGACAAATGCCCCATGGATCATGAAATTACATTTTCCCATGTTTTTTGTTCCTTCGTTTCTTTGTTTCTTTGTTGTTTAACGCCGCACTCAGCTATAATCCAGCTATATGACGGCGGTCTGTAAATAATCGAGTCTGGACCAGACAATCTGACACCATGAGCATCGATCCACGCAATTGGGATACCATGACATGCATCAACCAAGCCGACGAGCCTGACCTTCCGATCTCTTTAGTCGCCTTTTACGACAAGCAAAGTCGCTTTTTACGGCCTATTCTAACAAAGATCTTCACAGGTGTTTTTCTCCATTAAGTACGTCGTGTGGGATGGTGGTGTACAGGGTTAAAAACTCAAATGTTTTGACATAATTAAATCTGTTTCTTTTCAGAGATTGTAAAAATGCACGCACATCCTTTGAGTGTTTGAGAATATATTTTAAAAAAAAACTTTCTTACAATTTACTTTCTTATAATCAGTATCAAAGCTCTGTTAATTACAACCCGCTGATACAGTACACGTAATGCTCTGGGCCAACACACTAAATTGAAAAAAATATATTTCCAAAATACCTTTTTATTCTCGATAGCCTACCTTAAGAGAAAGTATCCATGAAAATTAAAGTATGTAACATTGTATTCATGTGCATATGGGGGGGAGGGGGGAGCATGGGGGGCCCAGTCGTCTAAGACGCCGCGATTCGCTGTGCAGAGTTGCGTCCCTTGTGCACGCCAGAATCCAGGTTCGCCCCGATTATGTTTCTAGGTTTGTCAGCACCATACCCGTGCTCGTGGGTGTCACCGAAGTGGTAAACGTCTGAGACCTGCATCACTTCGGGCTTTCCTCCCACATTAAACTGACACGCTGTGACATAAATGGAATAATTTTAAAAGGTGCGTTAAACCCATCTCACTCACTCACTCACTCACTCACTCACTCACTCACTCACTCAATCACTCAATCACTCACTCAATCACTCACTCAATCACTCACTCACTCATGTGAAAGAAACAAATTGAACCGGAGGATACCCTAATCTATCGTTGACTATTATTTAACACAGCTTCGTTGAATGAGATTACTATAAAAAGTACTTTATTGTATTGAAAAAGAACAGAACAATAGATGCCAGGTTGAAAGTGTTAAACTGCGCTTTGCCAATGTAAACACATGTTGCCAACCCACCTACAGCTCGTATATCCGTGAGTATCACTGTACACTGAATACATCAATAGTTTGCAGCTGCGCTCGCTCACAAATAAACTGTATGTCCATCAAATACCGAGCCGCGACAACGAATTTACTTACCTTATCTCACTGTTGATGGAATACATATTTTCATACCCTGATTCCATTTTTCCGAAATACGAATACTAATAGTGTGATTATTATTAATAATACAAATATGAGTGTGGTTTACGCTATCTGTGGATTCAAAAAAGGCCTATTTAGATTACAGTGACTATATTTTATCAAAGTGGCTATTGTAAGTTGCATTGAAATAATAATAATAATAATAATCTACTTTTTGAATCTTAGATATGATCAAAAAGGGGATTTAGTGTTACATTTTCATAACGTGACGTTGGAAACTCAAATTAACATTCATACTCCTATCAGTCGAGCGATTCAATTAATGTTCTTTTACGAGGCAGTCATCACTGCTCCAGTTATATCTATCAGGGCGGTGTGAAAATGATATAACAGAGAGCTTGACCATCCGATCCCAATTTCAGTCGCCTTACGATTGGGTGCCAGGGACCTATTCTGACCCTGAATACCCGTGAAGATCCGGGGTAGAATAGGTCTTCAGCAACCCATGCTTGCCGTGAAAGCCGACTATGCTTGTCGTAAGAGGCGACAAACGGGATCGGGTGGTCAGGCTCGTTGACTTGGTTGATGCATGTCATAGATCCTAATTGCGTGGACTGATGTACTTGATGTCAATCACTAGATTGTCTGGTACAGACTCGATTATTTACAGACCGCCGTCATATAGCTGGAATATTGCTGAGTGCGGCGTTAAACAACAAACAAACAAATAAACAACAGTTTTTGAACTGACAGGACAAAAGAGGACAAGACAGGACACGGGTGTCGAAGCCAAAATCCAGTGATCGTGGGTTAGAATCCTAGATTCGCCCATATTACGATTCTCACTCAGCGCTATACTAAAGCTAATGGGTTTCAACAAAGTGACACACATTTGCATCACTTTAAGTTGACAGACCATCTGACACAATGCTTGAAAGCTTCGTTTAAGCAAACTACTCACAGAGATCACCTACAGTGCAATTGGTTGGTACACAGGATTGACATCACAGATAAAACGTCAGTCAACAAATGTTTCAAGGAGGCCCATATAATGTGGGGTTCCTTTTGTCAGGTAATTGTCGTTGGGTTCTCTGTGTTGTTCAACACCGCATACAGCAATATTCAAGTTTTATGACGGTAATGTTGATCACCAGCATAAGCTGTCAAAGAATTACGGGGGTAAATCGACACGTGTGACCTCACATCGAAAATAGTTTCGAATCGAATTTCTGGTGTTTTGCACATAACTGAAATACTGTTCAAAGCGGCGTTAAACCCATCTACCTCCCTCACCTTGAAGGCACATCATGCCTCATATATATATATATATATATCATGACTTGCCAGCTTGATGTGGAAGGAAAGCCTGAAGTGATGCAGGCTTCAGAGCTTTACAACTTTGTTGATACCCATTAGCACAGGTATGGTGCTGAGAAATCTAAAAACATGAATCGGTGGAACCTGGATTTGACACTTCAGCAGGATTAATGGAATCAAATGAAGGATTTTACGTGTGATGCTAAAAGCGGCGCAAAACCATACTCACTCACTTAGATAGTAGGTCCTGGCAATATAAAATATATGATCTGAGGTTTCAAAAATCCGGTTAACTGCCCATTATTTGGTAAAAGATAGAAATCAGGCCAAAATGTTTAGAAACAGCTAAACGATCCTTCCGCTCTGAGTCATGCATTGGGCAGATTGAAAGGGCGTGCAGTTTATCTTCGACTTGGTCTTTACAATTAAAACAAGTCCTATTTGAAGTGGTAAAGTTTCATGGCAACTGGCTTCTATCGTAAGTGGCGCAACGCCATGTCTAACCTTGGCACTTCTGTGATGTCGTGGTGAGGGACACGTTAAGTTAAGGATAAAACACGACTCCGAAGTTTTGGTTGAAAACGTAAAAAACCCAGGGCTCTTTCGATCTGTAACATTAACTTCGCAATGTCCTCATATCTTGAAGGTGGATTTGTAAGAGACGTCAATGTTATCTGGGGGCTGATGGTCTTACACCTTTTCTTCCAAACATCTCATCAGTTTGGACTTGTCGCGGTTTTGTTCATTGAACAATCCAGGTGACCAATCAAAGTGGCAGAGGTGTAAGAAGGAACTTGAATACTTCATGAAGATCAGTTTGACAAGAAGAAGCAAGGTATAAAAGTCGGACAAACAGATCCACACCGAAGTTATTTCATTGTCTTTGGCTAAATTGTTACCTTAAGTGCTCCAGTATATACGTAGGGACATTCTTAATCTTTCTACTTGCATTTGGCTTTTGAAAGCAGCCATTTGAAAATTCCCTGTACCCTCTTTCTCTTGTATAAATACAGTTAACAAGATCACCAGCAACATCTTCTGCAAGTGATTTTCCTGTTGTAATGCAGTACAGATGGGTTTTGGGATTATGTATGGTGAAAGGTTTCAGGCAACTTTCAACTGAGTTGGCAAGCTCCTCGACATCTTCATGGTCCCGTTTGATCTGTGCAGATTTGCACTGCTTTGTAACACCTTCCTTGTCTATTTATTGGTTGTTGGTTGGTTTGTTGTTTAACGCCACACTCAGCAATATTCCAGC